GTAGTAGTAGTTAGTCAGTCGTTAGTAGTAGTAGTAGTAGTAGTAGTAGCTGTAGTAGCAGTAGTAGTAGTCGTCGTAGTAGTAGTAGTAGTAGTAGTAGTAGTAGTAGTAGTAGTAGTAGTAGTAGTAGTAGTAGTAGTAGTAGTAGTAGTAGGGTAGTAGTAGTAGTAGTAGTAGTAGTAGTAGTAGTAGTAGTAGTAGTAGTAGTAGTAGTAGTAGTAGTAGTAGTAGTAGTAGTAGTAGTAGTAGTAGTAGTAGTAGTAGTAGTAGTAGTAGTAGTAGTAGTAGTAGTAGTAGTAGTAGTAGTAGTAGTAGTAGTAGTAGTAGTAGTAGTAGTAGTAGTAGTAGTAGTAGTAGTACTCGTAGTAGTAGTAGTAGTAGGAGGAGGAGGAGGAGGACCAGAGTAAAACCACAACATCTCATCAAAGATGTTGGAATCACCCCTCTCTCCAAGCTCCTTTTTCATAGGCTCCTAGTAACTTTCATTTCCACTGAAAAAGTACCCCCGCTTGGAGACTATCGTTTGAAGATCCTGAAGCGTGCCAAAATACCGTTCTCGGGACTCCCAAGCCCCGAATCAACCTGACTGTTGCGTCGTGACGATCCTGAATCGTGCCAGAACATCATTCCTGGGATTCCAACACGGCGAATCAACTTACCAATTGTGCCCTGACGTACCTGAATCGTTACAAAACACCGTTCCTGGTACGTTAGTCATGGGAACGCGGGTGAAACTCTTGCATCTGCTTAATACGAGTCTGCACGGCGGTCAGGCTAGAACCACATTTTGGAAAGGAGCCGCCCTCAAACCTTGAAGCTCTTGCATTTAAGAATGAATGTGCGCGGGGCTAAAACGAGAGCCACACGTTGAAAACGACCCGCCCTCAATCCGTGAAGTTCGTACAAATTTTCCAAATGAGTGCGCGCGGCACTAAGGCGAGAATCACATTTTGAAGACGACCCGCCCTGAATCCGCCGAGCTCTTGCACATGTTTCAAATGAATGTGCGCGGCGCTCAGGCGAGAGTCACATGTTGAAAACCACCCGCCCTCCATGTTTGTAATTGTTGCCAACTTGTAAGCCTCAGGGTCATAAGTGGTGAGGAAATCTCACGCGAAACGGCCGGCCCGCCCTTTCGACTGGCCTCGGGGTGCGACAGGAGGGAACTATCCATAACAATGGAAGAGGAAGAGGAGGAGGAGGCGGAGGAGGAGGAGGAAGCGGAGGAGGAAGAGGAGGAGGAGGCGGAGGAGGATGAGGATGGGGACAATGACTACGACGACGACGACCCGCTCCTCCACATCCTCCTCCTCCTCCTCCTCCGCTTCCTCCTCCTCCTCCTCCTCCTCCTCCTCCTCCTCCCAAGCACTGGCCGAGGGTTTCTGAAATTCTCCAGAGGCCCTCGGAAGCACCCAGAGGCCCAAAAGCCGCCGGAGCTCCGACGAGGGGCAGAACGCAAATCTGGAAGCTCCGATCCCCGAGCCTCCCTCGAGCCTCCAACCCTGCTCCTCCTCCTCCTCCGCCTGCTCAGCGCGGGGCCGGCGACCGTCGGGGGCCCAGCGCTTTCCCGCCCAGGCGGGTTGCGCCCAAGGCGGGGGGGGCCGCGGCCTGCGCCGGACGCGTTCCAGCCCGGCTGCCTCTGCGGGAAGGATTTGGCGACGAGGGCGCTTGACGGCGTGGGCGAGGAAGGAGGGGAATGAGGGACAAGGGAGGGAGGAAAAGGAGGGAGGAGGAGGAGGAGGAGAAACACCTGTAGGAGAGGAGGAGGAGAAGGAGTAGGAGGAGGAGGAGGAGGAGGGGGAGGAGGAGGAGGAGGAGGAGGAGGAGGAGGGAGGAGGAGGGAGGAGGAGGAGAAGGAGGAGGAGGAAGGAGGAGGAGGAAAAGGAGGGAGGATCAGAAGCAGGAGGAGGAGGAGAGGAGGAGGAGGAGGAGGAGGAGGAGGAGGAGGAGGAGGAGGAGGAGGAGGAGTAGGAGGAGCAGGAGGAGCGAACGTCAACAGAGTGTTTCTCGCTCCCGCCTCGGCCGCGCTTCGGGCCGCGTCGCTCAGCTCGGTGTTGAAGTTGTCGAAGTTGGAACGAGTTGGAACGTAGGGAGCAACCCGCGCGGGCGGGCAGCGCGGCACGAGACCGTGCCGACGGCGTCGTACTAGAAGCAGTAGGCCGCGTAGAGGAGCCGCCCGCGCGGACGGGCAGGGCGGCGCTAAACCGCGCCGATAACGTCGCAGTCAAGGTGGGAGATGGCGGCGTGGACGTGCAGCCGGGACGCACGGCGTCAGCCACCAGCTGCTGCGTGATCTCGCCGACCAGGGAGGACGGCAGGATAACATCACAACGCCCTGCGGTCAGGCCGAGGCCCCATTTGATGTCGACGGCTCTCTGCAGGTAAGACGGCGAGGTCGGCACCAACCCAGCACAGGCACGCTGCCACAATCCCTCCGAAAAGAGCCTCTCCTCGAAGATCGCGGCGGCGTCGAGCCGGAAGTGCAACTGGAAGTGATCGAAGGCTTCTAGCATGCTCTGCCAACGATTTTATGGAGTGACACTGGACATCACTGTCTTGTGACATTCCGCTTCAATGCCGGCCTTGATGTGCTGCCTGCTGTTATTGTTGTTGTCGTCGTTTTGCTGTTGTTGGAATTGGCGTACGCCTCAGTCAGAGCAAGCACGGACATGGCGACTTCAGATTTCGTCCCGTGAGCCAGCCCCGACGGCGACGCAGAGGGACGAGTACATGAAATGCTGTGCCAGACAAGGCCGATACAGCAGTACTAGCGGCCGCCGCAGAAAGCGATGCAGTAGGAGGTGGTAGGCTCGAGGCACTTCGTGTAAGCCTCCAGGGAGGAACCCGAGCAGCGACTGTGGTGAACGATCGGCACCACCCACTCACCGAGCGCGTGCGCCGTCGAGACGAACCTACATGACGGTGCCCAACCACATGCCCAGGACGAACGTTCAAAGAGCACGCGCAGCGCCACCACGGGCGTCCCTGGCAGCAGCAGCAGAACCTCCGGCATCAGGGGCATGAGGAGCATGAGCACAAACGTGAAATTCACGGGGCACATCCTGCTCGGGGCATTCATGAGGCTGGAGTACCAATCGATGTAGACAAGACTCAGGGGAAACCGCACGCACATCTTTAGGATCATTTTCATCACCGTCAGCTGGCACTGAGACGCCACCTGCAGCGGTAGCGGGACAACCTTGAGGATCGCACGCCACATCAGCAGGACACACAAGGACGCCACTTGCGGCGGCCGGGCAAACTAGAGGATCACCTTCAGCATCTGTAGGATGCATTTCAGCAGGTAGGGCGCAACAGTCAGTTGCACGATCCTTGCAATGAGGAGAATGAGGAGCCCGAGCGAGACGACCGCCACCATCGCCCCCGGCGCGGGGAGAGCCACCATAAGCACACGGAACTGGGGGACCGTCATCACGCCCAGGAGGGTCCGCACGAACACTGAACAGGTTCGCCCTTGCACCGCGGTGAGCCCCGCCTGAACCAGGCGAAGCACCATCATGGGAGTGCAGAGCACGAGCACCGATATCACACGTATCATAATCAAGCAGACGAGCGGAATGATGCGGAGCACGCACGTCACCTCGAGCAGCAGCAGCAACGTGCTCCTCGAACCTCCGCAGCTCGAACACATGATCGATGTCCCAGTCGGAAGAGGTGTCCACGAAATACGACGGCACAGAGACAGAGGCGGGCTCCGCCAACTGCTGCACGCTCGTATCTTCGATGTTGTCAACCGGGGCGGAAAACACCAGAGTCGAGCGGCACCAAGACAGGAATCCAACACATAGAATCTTGCAAGAAATGGGGAGCACTGAAGGCGGGGCAACAATCAGCCCGCTCAGCGGTAACTCGACCACCAGGGGCGGCAGATCACCAGGGAGACGACGAGCACCACCAAACATTTGGCGAACAGGCGGGGGAGGCACAGGAAGAAGTCGATCCAGCTCAAGAGTGAATGCCGCACCTAGGGGGGCACACCAGCGGAGGCCTCGAAGCAGAAGACGCCGCCATAGGAAGACGACGTTTTGCCCGCCCACTCCGTGAATCAATCTTGAGAAGAGACTGGGCGACTTCAGGATGTAGGCGGTCTGCAGCATGTAGAATCTATTGCTGAAGAGAGTGCGATCGACTGACACCTTGCAGAGAGCCATACGGAGACACACCACGACAAATATCTTGCAGCTTCTTCTGAAGGTAGGTGGGTACCAAGGTCCAATGACATTCGTCATGCACGTGCTGAATGAATCCTCGTTCGAGCTCGGCAGCGTCTCTCGCGTGCTGCTTTGCAGGAGCGTGCGTGCACCATATCGGAACCACCACAGAGCCACGGCGCGAGGCAACGACCCAGCAGCGTTCGCCACCATCGGCAGGCGACGAGCGCGGAGAGTGCAGTCCGCGGGCCTGTCATGCGGCTTGAGCCGAAGTGGCTGCGGAGGAGGAGGAGGAGGTGGAGGAGAAGGAGGAGGAAGCGGAGGCGGAGGAAACGTCTGCTCGAGGTCCAGTCCTCCAGATAGCTTGGGAGGGAGACTCTCGCGGAGGCCTTCGCGAGCAGTAGGAGAAGGAAGAGGAGGAGGATGGTGCGGGTGTGGGATGAAATCCAACAAGTACAGCAGTCATGCTTCACTGCTGCCGCCGTCGTCGTGCAGTGCGAGCGCATGCACGCTGCCCTCGTGCGATGCCTTTCTGGTTCAAGGGGCGTGAGGGGGAGCAGCCAGAGCCATGGATCGGTCGCGTCTTTACTTGTCTCGCCAACGCAGTACAACATGTAAGCATGGTCTACTCTGTCTTGTGAGTCTCGTTGCCATCAATGTCATTGCACCGACCTTGCATACGCGCTGCAGCGGATTTTGGCGTGGATTTCTGCGTGGGTTTTTACGCGAAGCGGCGAGCGTAAAACGGAGTGAACTTCGCGTGGGTTCTTTTTGGTCCTCATTCCTGGCCACACAAACTCCGCACGAAATTCACCTCGAAACCCGGAACGACATTCTCCAGGACACTCCAGGCCCACCCTATCGCTTCCCGAACGAAATCCACCATGCGATGTTGGCGCCATGACTAATGCATACTCCTGAGGGAAGGGGTCCGCCGACCCCCGCGGGGGTGGAACGGCGCGTGAGACATGTGGCTGTCGGCCTTCCCACGGGGCTTCCACAGCCCCGTCGGAGGGGAGGCGGGGGATGCTGCGCGAGCTCCCCGCCGCACTTCCCTGACTGTCGGAGCCTCCGAATCCACCCACCGCGGCCTCCAAGATTGCCCGGATGCCCTCCAAGATGGTTCAAGAAGCGCTCCAGCGCGCCCGCGGGGCATCCAGAATATCCAAGATGGCCGCTGGACGGCCAAAGCGACCTGGAAGAGACACGCAGAGGGCCCAAGAGGAGCCCCAAGACGGGTGCAATTTGCCCAAGCTGCAGACTTCCCAAGACTTTTCGGTAAAGGGAATAGATTTCGCATTCTGCCCAGACCGAGGTTCTGAACCTCGAGGGGGCCCGAGACGCCCCCCAGATTGGCCCAAAACGTCCAGAGAAGTCCAAGAGGGCCCCACAATGGCCCAGCAGGCCCGCCAAACGGCCTCAAAAGGCTCCTTCCTCCAGCTCCTCCTCCTCCTCCTCCTCCATCTCCTCCTCCTCCTCCTCCTCCTCCTCCTCCTCCTCCTCCTCCTCCTCCAGCCGCCGCTCTGGCGCAAGGAGGGCGAGGGGCGGCCAGCGGCGCGGCAGTAATGTGACCTGCCGTGGCGCCACGCGGATTTCGCGATGGCGCGGGCCGTGGGCCATTGGGCGTTGCGGGCACTTGGCTTCAACCCAATGTTCGCGACGGGCTTGAGGCTCCAGGACATAGCCATGAGTTGCAGCAACATGGACCTGGTCTTGCTCGCGGGTACGCAGGCCTCTTCGAGGCGTGCAGAGGAGGTTTTGTTTCGCAGGATTGGGAAAAGGACAGTTCTGGAGGCCGAGGCGGGGTACGGGGACTATACTAACAAGTCCACGGGGTGCGCGATCCTTCTGGGCACGAAGTTCGGGGAGAAGCACGTCTGCCAGACATGGGCTAGCCCTCACGGGGCGGAAGGCCGTGCATTGGCAGCTCGAATCAAGAAGGGCCCCCTGGACCTGGCCCCGATCGTGATTTATCTCCCGCCCCAGCCTCGGTACGCCCACCTAGTCCCCAACTACAAAGCCACGGTGAACACGGTGGCGGCATGGTACGAACGCAGACATTGCCTTGCCGCTGCGCACCACTGGTTTACGCTGGTCTTAGCGATGGGCAGGGGTTGTCTCGTGTGGCAGGACAATGGGGCCCAGTTGAGAGTACTGCAGTGGGCCCTGGACGGGCTCGTGAACGACGTCGTCGGGGTGCTGGTGAGATTTTTCGTCAGGTTAACGAGCGCCAGCATATGTGTTCTGTAAATTCTCGGTGCCAGCAGCTGGAACACACTTTTTTATGGGAATTCTGGACACGGCAGTTGCATTGATCTGTTCTTTGTTCCAGACGGTATGGTGAATATGGTGTTTCGTTTCTCTCCACTTCACGGTCTGGGGGCTGAGCTGCAGGCGTTTCGCGGCGCCCCGCCGAAGGATCACCTTCCGATATTTATATATATATATACATATATACACACATGGAGTTGCATGGCATGCAGTTTGTGGTTGATTCGGAGTCTCCTTCGCTACAACGTACGAGGTGGAACCAGGATGATCGTATGAGATGTTTGCGCAAGGGGGAACGGCGAGCTGAGTTCTAGGAAGAGGTTGGGAGACGACTGTGCGAGAGCGAGGATACTTGGAGGGTGCTGTTGAATCGCGGACGGCCAGATGAGTTGTTCAAACATCTTGACGATACGCTTGTCGGTGCAGGTCAGCAGCTTTTCAGTCACCAGGTGTCCAACGACCCAGCGTACAGGCAGGAGGCCTCTGAACGAGCTGAGCTTCTGCGAGAAAGACCTCGACTTCGCCGCTCACGACTCGGCATGAGCGAACCTTCTCCAGCACTTCGCGCTTGCGAAGAACAACTGCGAGAGCTGAGCCAGCGACTCCGACGACAGCGCCAACAGTTCCAGAGAGAGCGTCGTACAGCACTATTGGATGAGAGTGACGAGGCTTGGCAGTCTCGACGGATGGCGGAGGCCACGCGGCTCTCGCGCATTGCAGCCCGGTGTCGCTACGGCCCGAAGCGTCGTGGTGGTAGACTCCTTCGCGGTGGGCAGTTTGCAGAACAGGAGCTGCTGGCACACTGGAGCCAGAAGGGGAGCGAGGGAGGGATGTCCGCTAAAAAGATTGATTTCGACGAGAGGATGGATTCTGTCCCAGCAGGACCCTCGCCTTACATCACCCCTGAGGATTGTGAGTTGGCCCAGAAAGACCCATGGAGAATTGCAACATACTTTCGTTCTTCGAGCAAGAGACGTATGGTGCCGTCTGGGACCCCGCCCGCCGAGATCTGGTTGATGTGTCTCGACCCCGCCGCGAACATTTCGAACCAGGGGATGGGCGTAGGCTACCAGCGTGAGGTTCCTGAGATGAAGCTGTTTGGGAAGATTCTTGAGGGAGGATTGCGTTCTGTTCGGGCCACTAATCGAACGCCGATGCGGTGGCACGTGAGCTCTGGGGCCCAACCCCAAAAAATGCTAAGCCAGGCCCATTGGGCCGACGTACGGTGCATGTTTTGCCGACTTTGGGGAAAGCTTTCTACTCTGGCCTCCTTCGAGTTCCTCCCATGGCGATCGAGCACGGCTTCTGTCCAGGCAGGCGTGGAGGAGGGGCCATACTGGTGGCTCGGTTGGTATGCTGGCGCCTTCGCAGGGCTGGGCGCTCGTTTGCGTGCACTTCCAAGGATATGACGAACGCTTTTGCCACCGGGTCCTGGCCCGATCTGGAGCAAACTGTCGACATGCACGCCGGACCCCAGGACGTGGACCTCTGCATACAACGTTTTCGGAATAGTGTGATATGGTTGGGTACGGTGGAAGGAGGAATGTCTACCAAGACGGGGGAGGGAGGCACCATGGGCGACCCCTACGTTGTTGAACTATTCAGAGGCACCTTTTCGAGACCCATCCTGCAATGGCTCCGTAGGCTGAGGGACTTTGACCCTTCGGCTGCTGGTCTGGTAGCCCGATGGAGGGATTTTCAAGCGGACGTGGGCGGTTGCCTGTACGCCGACGATGTCTTCCGTGTGCACGTCGCCCCCACCCCCCCCCCACACACACATACACTTCGGTGGGACGATTTCTTGAGGTCCTGAAGCAGGCTGATGAGGTGTTGTCGGAGGAGTTGGAGGAGATAGGATACGCCCAGAACATCTCGAAGCAGGAGGTTCAGCTTTGTTTCCAGGGGCCAGGGGCTTTACAGTGTAGACAGTGGGCACGGGGGAGGGGCCGAAGACTACTTTCGGGACAACTTCAGGATGATGTTCGTTACCTTGGGCCGAAAATTAACATGCTGCAGTCGGCGACTGTCGAGGTCCGCCGACGAATTCAGGCGACTGCTGAATCGTACTATGCGCTGGGGCAGATCTGGTCTTTGGAGGTCCCGTTTCGTTGGAAGCGGACCTTGTTTCTCAGCTTCGTCCATAACGCGGCGCTGACTGTATTAGAACCTATGCTGCTCACACCTCGACACTATCGTGAACTCGATTCGC